AGGGTTCAACTTCTTTGATAGATTAAAGGCCAAAAAAAAGTTATTTGACAGATTCAAGCAAAGTTTAAGGGTTAAAAGGTAAAAAAATATATAAGTTTAGGGGCCAACTAATGGTGTTTTCAGAAAAGAATAAAAAAAAAGTGAAAATATTGGCTAAAATAGTCCAAACCCGAACTCGCCCGCAACCCGGCCGGAAGTCTTCTCCTTCCCTTGGATCTCAGTTGCCCGGACAACCTGCAATCGTTAAAAAAACTACCCTTCCGCTTCCATTTTCGCGCTCTAAAGCTCACAACCCTAATGCAGCACCACCTGCAACACCAGACCACGGTAGCGGCTTCAACTCCTCCCTCGAAAACGGGGGATGCGCCGCCAAAGCAGGTGGCGCTGGCACTGGAAAGGTTGAACCATGCCACGGGGGTCATTGCCAACATCCGGCTCGGAGCTGACCGCCTCATTGAAGCCCTATTTTTCGCCGCAGAGCCTCATAAAAGTTCTAAACCCGTTGATTTGTTCATCAAAGGAGATTCCGCCATGCGCCAGCACCTCCAAGAACTCCGCTCAATTGGTATGCATAGTCCCATCACGCTACATGTTCTATAAAACCCAAGATTTTTTTTTTGTTTTTGTTTTTGTTTTTGCGTACTTAGTTTTTGCTACTGCGTGGGGATTCGGATTCACAGCTTCTCAAAAATGTTTTTGGTTTTTTTAGGAAAGCAGCTGGAGGAATCGGGGGTGCTAAATGAATCCCTAAAGTCCAGAGGTAATTCTTGGGGGTTGCACATGCCGCTGGTGTGTCCTGATGGTGCAGTGGTTGCGTATGCTTGGAAACGGCAGCTTGCAGGGCAGGCTGGAACATCTGCTGTTGACAGGACCAGGTTCGTAGCAATAGTTTCAGGTTGACATTTGATTGATACTAATGCTGATGCAAAAGTCCAAGCAATCGCTTTGTAAATTTGGCTGTGTTTGCTTGCAAGTTTAGATGCCGAAAAAGTAGCTCCCAGTTTGGTTTGTTCAGGCATCACTATATTGAATTAGTAGTTCTACCATTTGTTTTAATATAATTTTTTACGTATAAACTTTATGGAGAGTTTCTGAGATTGAAATGGATGTGTTTCTTGATGAGGCATAAATATTTGTTGGAGATTTAAGTTCTATTTGCTGTTAAATGGCGCTACACTGGAAGATGCAATTGATGGAGCTCTAAGTCCTTTTGAATGGTTTAGAATTATTTCGAAATCCTAGACCGATGAGAGCTTGGTTGAGTTGGTACCCACTAACTAGAAAACCTTGATTTGGGGGTCAAGCCATCTAGGTCAAGGGTTCAAACTCCTACAATGCCAACCAGCTAACTCCCAATGCACCAAAAATATATATATTTTTTGAAATCCAAGACTCCTGGAACTTTTTTCATTGCCTTTGCTGGCTTTAATTGCCTATGGAATCAATGCAGGGAACTCTGTGAAGTGAATAAGAATTACTTCTGAGCAGCTAAGGCATTGGCTACTATTAGTGTTGTGCCATTGTGTAGGGATTCTATAGTGTCTATTAAAATGATTTTCCATACAGCTTTTTAGCAATCATTGCTCAATTTACCATGTGTTACTTGAGAATTGTAGTGATACTAGTCTTTTGCAACAGGATCAAACATTTGGTTACTTCCTTCCTTTTTCTTTTTTTTTGGCAATAAAATTGTATATTGTTTTTTGGTATATCACGTGTGTTACTTTTTACTGGCCAGGCACTGCTTTGGATTGTAGCTCTGAACTTTGGAAGCTTTCTTTGAAGTGTAAACTTGTGTTCTAAATGTTGCAGGCTTGCACTCAAGGCCTTCACAGATCAGAAAAGGCATTTTTTCCCTCGCCTTGATGATGGACTTATGGAATCAGCATCTAAGAAGCATTGTGGTGCCCGAGCATTTGGAGAAAATAACCAAGATGAACCTAGTAACTACAAAACACTTCATGATGTTCTAACTTGTTTGGAGAAAGAAGTACCAAATTTGAAAACTTTCACTTATGAGAGGGTGGATTGGTTGAAAAGAGCTTCTACACTGCCTGCTTCAGCAAATGATAATTCCATGGAAGAGCCAAAACATCACTTTCATGGTTCAAGCTTACTTAGGCCAGCTTCACAGGGTGTTGTTCCCTCTGATAAGGTAGCCGTAATTGAGCTGTTGTTTCCATCCATCTTCAGAGCTGTAGTCTCAGTACATCCAGCTGGTTCTATTGACCCAGATGCAGTGGCTTTCTTTTCCCCAGATGAGGTAATTTTCTTTTGTGGAACGTATGATTTTTATTCTCTAGGGGTTAATTATGCTATTAGGAGCTTGTTCTCAATGTGAACATCAATGATGCATGACTTAAATGTGGGTGCAAATACAATTGGCTTGAAATTATCTGATTAACAAATTAATTGGACTTCAAGTACTTTTCTGAATTGATTGGAACGTAACAAATTAAAAAAAGGTCAGTGGACCCAAGACAAATTTTGAGAGATAGGGATTAGAAATTATATTGATTTTCATTCTAAGGGCTGGTTGGATCTTATGCTTTTTCTAGCATTCTGTTGCATAATTTAATTTCAGTGGCGTATATCCACTTTCTTTAACAGGGTGGGAGCTACATACATGCCCAAGGTTCTTCAGTCTCCCATGTATTCAGACTCATTAGGGTAACAATCTTTGCAGCCTATATTGCATTCTCTCTTTCAGATTCAAAATACCCTGTTATGAACTTGTTTCCACTAACATATATATTTGTTCACATACTATAGGAGCATGCTGCCCTTGCACTGCAGTATTTTATTGGAATCCAGAATGAAACAGCTCTATATTCTCTTCTTGTATGCTCCCATACAAATTCCCCCCTTCTTTCAGGGCTACCCCCTGTACTCATATTTAAAGTTTCTTATTTGTGTTTTGTTTTTTAACTAATGCTTTTCATTTTGTAGCACTGGATCTGCACCTATCAAACTTTATTTAGCAAAGCCTGCAGGTACAATTTCTTTCTTTCTTTCTTTGTTTTCTTTAAGTTTTTTTGCTTGGATTTTTATAATTAAAATTAAAATTAAGTTGATGCAGCAAATGTGGACGATTACTGGCAATGGATAAACAATCAGCTTTACTGCTACCCCCAGTTTACCGTCCTTACAAGAATTTTTCTTCAAAAGCCTCAGCAGGTGAGAATGATCATGCAGCTTATCATATTGGCTGCAATTCAGATGAACCCTTATGACCCTCCATTGGACTTGATTAGCCAACGAAGTGTTGTAGCTGGATAGACAGAAAGAACAGTGAAAAACAGCAATAATTCTAGAAGAATGTATAACAATCCCAATGGTCAAGCATGTCAGAAATTGTTAGCAGAAGTGGAAGGAATTGTATTCCTCAATTGTCTTACCCTTCGTTTCTCTCCAATCTTCTCTAGATTTACATGTAATGTATATATGCGTGGGGAAATTGGTGTGTTTGCATTAATTTTTATTACCATATGTTAAATTACTATAATTGTTAGTCAGAATTGCTTCCCACTTATTGTTATAAGATATCATTTTCTTAAGCTTAAAAAATTTAAGGTTTTTGGAAGGGTTTTTCTAATATGTTCGTAGATTAAAGGTGTATTTGCCGTATTTTTTAATAATTAATTATCTTTAAAAAATAAAAGTTAATTTTAGTTTTATCATATGTCTAATTAAAATTTTCCACGTATCATTGGCTTTAAAAATAATATTTACTTTTATATTTTTTTATGATAATAGTTGTTAAAATGTATAATAGATGTACCTTTAACTTATGCTATAATAATATATTTGGTTTGGGGGACAAAAAGTGTTTTCCTATGCTCTACATTTTTCTTAAATAAAACAAATCTTCGAGGTATTTTTAATTCGATACCCTTACGATATAAGTTAAGAATGTATTAATGTGATTTTGAATCATTAAATCATATGAAAAAACATAAAAATTGACAATAATTTTAACATTACTTCTACACGTAAAATTTTAATTCATTAACAAATAAAATTACGTTAACTTTTATTTGTTTTCATGCATCTTAATGATTAAAAAATATATTTAATATATTCTTCGAATGCACTCTTAGCATAAATATTAGAAAGACTTCAATATTTTAGAATTTGATGCTGAATAAATTGCAAAACAGAGATCAATAGATGTGGAGGACAATCCCTAGAATCAAGGGACTTATTCCCAGTGACGGAGCAAGAAAAGGTTTTAAGGGGGAAAACAAGAAAAATTAACAAAGAAAAGTGTAATTATGTATCAATGAAAAAGTTGATAAAAAGAAAAAATTAATAAACTAAATTTATTTTAAATAAAATTTATTAGTTTTTAACGAAAACTAACCCTTAGTAAATGATGTATAAATGCCATTAAATGAATGATAACAATAAAATAAATTGAATAGAAGAATACTAATAGACGAAAAAGAAAAAAAAAAGAATATTAATGAACAAACATATTGTGAAAGGTTAATAATAAACATTTTTTATTCAATTACTGTTTATTTTTTCTTATTTCCATATTATCTCTACTGTTCTCACTTTTCTTAACAGCACCAAATGTAATCTTAAATAATAAAAAATTAGAAAATAATTAATATACTACTCCAATAAGATATATAAAGATAGAAACAATAAGAATAAAAGTTACTAGACCTAATGAATTTTTTTGCAAAAGTTTAGGGGGCAGGACCCTCTCCAGCCCCACACCCACTATATCCGTCGGTGCTTACCGCAATTCAATGATAAACTTGTCCAATTTAAAATTGTGTAATACTTTTTCATTATGTGACAGCAACGGAAATTTAATAGAAAAACCCCTTTTTAAAGAGCAATGATAGGGAGATGTAACACTTGTGATAAAAGTTTAGAATTAATGATATAACTTATATTATGTTATTAAAATAATTAATAGATATAATATTTTGAATTTTAAAAAAAATCATTAAATAATATAAAATTTATTTTTTAATATTTCAAATAATATAAGTTATGTTTTACTATTAAATTTAATAGAAAAACCCCTTTTTAAAGAGCAAT